GAGTGATAGAGGGTGGGCTGACTGCATCACTAGTTCCTTCTCACTGCCATGTGGTCGGAGTTGGAGCTTCTCATGTCCTTTTGTCTCTGAACATGGAAAAAATGCTTAGAATTGTGTATAGTTAGTTTTCTTCTAGTTTTTACTGTTTTTATATAGTTTTAGCTTTTAGTAATTGTTTCTTTACAGATTTTGGGAGGCACTCCCCTAGGCTCAGGTGAAACTAGTTGGAGTATGTTCACACTACAGCTGAGAGTGAGCCTCAAAGGCTCGGTAGAAAGATTCATTCTATCAGTAGGGTGACCATCCGTCTCGTTTTTCTGAGGACAGTCCCGTATTTAAGGGCTGTTCCCGGCATCCCAACTTTTTTAAAAAACTGGGCATATTGTCCCATATTTTTCCTGCAGCAGGGGGTGGGGAGGAGCCACCAACACTCAGGGTTTCAGCTACTGAAGTCCCAGTGCCAGAAGCTCCTCTCCCTTCCCCACACTGCATGCTGCGGGACTGAACTTTATTCCTGCAGTGGTACAGGGTGGGCGGGGAGCCATGGGCACTCAGACCTTTGTCCATTGGAACCCCAAGCGCTGGTGGCTTCCCCCTCCCACTGCGGGGCTGAAGTTCCAAGCACCAACAGCCTCCCCTCCTTCCCCCCGTGCTTGGTGTCCCGTATTTGGCATGGGGAAATATGGTTACCCTGTCTATCAGGGCTCAAGCAAGCACACTAAAAATAGCAATTGTGTGGACATTGGAAGCTGGGGTGGGCTTGATCAGACAGCTTCTGGTTCACAGCAGAGCTACCATGTAAAGCTACTGAGGGAGTGATGGGAATAGTTTGGGAGGTTCTGCTCCTATCTCCTCATGTATGCAGTAGGATTGACTCAAACCCTTAATTTTAAAATGTGTGGTTCTTGTCTCAAACACCTTTTCTGTTCATAGTCAAATACGTTTTTCTTTACAAGGTCTGCTTCCCATTAAGGTGCCACATGTTACATGGCACTAAATAAAGTTTCACAGTTACAAGATTTCCAGTATGTTACAGCTATAGACTTAGGGTATGTCTCCACTATGAAGCTTTTTAGTGACAAAGCTGTATCAATGTAGTCTTGTTGCTAAAAGTCAGCATGTTTGACAAAACACTTCCTCCCCCAATGAGCACATTTTGCTTTGTTGGCAGGAGAGCTGTTGTGACACTGCACCTCCATATTTTTATGGAAATGTGTTTTGAGTATTCAATATGCATAACTCAAATATGCTTTATGTAAAATGGGGCAACTAACCTATCATTCAAGAGCCTACAGTCTCCTGAATGTGTATATTCTATTTGTGTGCAGGTGTCTTTCTTGTATGAAGTTAGAAATAGAAATTATAAACCTGTTTAATGCCTTTCACAAGACCACCTAGATTAATAGTGATATTTAAGGAACTTAATGACTCTGTGCTCAAGCCAATGGGTCTGTGAATAGTCTTGTTTATTTCTGTAAGTCTGGATTGTTGTTGGTCCCACAAAGACTGGTAACCATGCCATCTGATGCTAAACTCCATCTTGAATTTTGTACTCTTACACAGGGTGGGGAGAGTTGAACAAAGAGTTCCTGCCCTGGGAAAATTCTATGTAAGGGATAGGAAGCAAAGAATGATTGTGTTCAGCTGGCTTCACAGACTGCTCCCCACCCAAAGAGGATACATGTAAGCACTGGGGAACAAAGAACTCTAACAACAGGGGTGGAGAGAGGCTGTTAGATCCAGGTCAGGAAAAAAAGATCCGTTCTGGCCTGCAGTACTTTGCCTGAAATAAGGATTGGGGTGAGAAAATATTATTTGTGACAATTTCTCTTGGTGTATTAGGATTAGCTGCTGTGTTTTTGTTTTATTTTAGCTTAGTAACTAACTTTGATCTGTCTGCCATCACTTGCAACCATTTAAATCCTATTTTTATACTTAATATCAAAATCAGTGTAAATATTGTTACCTGGAGGGGAACAACAGCTCTGCATCTCTCTTTCATTGATACATTTTATGAACTTTCTCTGTGAAAAACTTTTATACCAAGACAGATAGATTTATATGGGGCTTTGGTCCCTTGGGGCTGTTCTGCTGAATGCTAACAGGTCCCTGTAACTTAGGAGCCAGAGCTGAGCTGTTATTAGTGTCTGTTGTTCTGCTGAGGGGTGTTACCCAAACTATGCATCTTTCCTGAGGGAGACCAGAGCTTCTGATTTAGCAGGACAGAGTAGTCAGCAGGCTCAGTGGTATGATCAGCCCATCAGGTGACAGTCTCAAGGAGATGTAACAGTGACAGTGTAGTCAAGAACACTGGGCTCATTGGTTAACCCTGTTAAACAGTCTCTCCGCCCCTTCCCCCCGCCTCTGTATAAGAGACAGCAGGGGGCAGGAAGGTGAGAAGCGGTGCACATGGGGATCCAGTTTAAAAGCCAGCTAAATTAGAGGCAGCAGCATGGGTGGGAGGGCAGACAGGAGCCAGTACATGTGAGGAGGCAAGAGGGGAGGGAGGAATGGGAGCCAGTTCTTGCAAGGAACCAGCTTAAAAGCCAGCTCCCTGTGAGCAACAGCTCCTGCCTTCCTCTCTCTCCCCACCCCTCCCCCCATGTAAACGTGTATCTGCTGAAAATTTTAACATCCCTACATCTGTGATCCAACCTGTTACGCCCATGATCCACAAAAAGTTTTGTCAATAAGTGCAAGTGTAGACCGACATATCTTAAATAATATACTCCACTGAAAATACCTGTGATGTATAATTGTAGTTAATGCATAGTTGCTATGGTAACTGGTGCTTTAAAAAAAAATAGGTTGAAACCTATTCACAATTTTATGACCAAAAATAACCCAACTTTCTAAAACCTATCTAGAGATGCACTAAAATGTTAAAGCCTGCTAGGGAATTGTGATATAAATCAACTGATCTGCTATAAAGTTTTTTTTCTGTTGTATAAATATATTAGTGGGTTTATAATTTTAGTTTATTTTTTTAATATCAAAGCAGCCATAAATAATTTTGCTATAGTCTTTTTAGACTGCAGCTAATCCTCTGTCATAAATGTCACTTCAGATTTTCATTTCTATTGCAAAATATTTGGGCTAGTCATGCTGGTATAAAAATGGAATCAGCGGTCCAAATTGAAATACAGCGTTCCAGGTGGTGAATATTTGTTTGGTACATCAGGGCAATTCCCGCTTTTCGTTTAACATGGTTTTGTGCTGTTTGCACTTTTATTGCTTCCGTGAACCTCTTTATGATAATTGGCTAATAGGAACTAAAAGTGTGACTGTTTATTACTGCTCTAATTGGCCTTGCAATACCAAGTAGTAAACAGTATTTGAGATACTCTGTAGCTTGTTCCTAAAAGCTTACAATATTCCACAAATAATTTTAGGTCCTGGACCTTGTTTCCCCAGCTTCAAAGATTGTGGATTATATCACAGTATAAATTGAGGCTTTCTAGCACAGAAAAAATACTTGATATAAATTCTTCATAATGTGCTGAATTATTTTAAAGGAATAAAAACAGCCTTTCTCGTGGCTTGATACACCTCTAATATACTGCTGTGCAAACTTCATAACCATATGATATACACACTTCTAGCTGAATGACTCATTATCAATAAGTTTCTGAAAAATGATATTTCATACTAAAATATTGTTTTGTAATACTTGAATGTATCTTTTAGTTAGAAACGCTGCATAGGTGTTAATGTTTAAATAATATGGCTTAGTGTCTTATAATACTGTCAGGCATGATCTTCCAAATGTTTACTTGAAAAGGGATAGTGATTCTGTTCAGACTTCTTACTCCAGCTTTTCAATTCGCAAACACTAACACTGCATAGGGATAATACTTTTTCCCATCAAAACTTTTTGATGCATAAAAAATATAACCTCTTCAAAGGAAAAATGACTCAAAGAAATAATGAATTGTGACTGAAAAATTAAACCTGGATAAGTCATGCTTGTTTTGGTGTTCAGAGGTGTAATGTTTTATTTTATATGTTGGTGTTTTTGTGGCCTTCTTTAAGGAAGGGGAATTGAGACTACACTGAGGTCTGATCTACACTACAGCATAAAGCAGCTTATGTCGACCTAGCTTTGTCAGCATCTATACTACAGTGTAGCTCATTGGTGGACAACCAGCAGCCCAATGGTGAAATGCATCCCATCAGGATTGTATGTGTGGCCTGCAAGACATTTTGTTTGTTGTTGCCCATGCGCAAGGTTTCCAGATTGCGCATATTTTGTCCATGTCCTTTTTTTCCTAGTGGTGTTACTAAAGTAACACACTCATAAAGCAAAGGTACATGAAGTCAGTGTGTGCTGATTGCACACCACTTTGACAATAAGAGCCATGCACTCCCTCTGGTATCTGATAAAAGTTCTGCTATAGTTCAGTACCTCGCAAATTCTAGGAATGCAAGCGCAGTTGGCAAAACTCTTCTATCCTGGGAGACCATCTTGGTTACAACAGTCTTGTGGCCCACTGAGATAAGAGGGCTACTCATGCGGCTCACTTACTAGCCTAGGTTGCCCATTGCCAGAATAGCTCTTGCCAGTGTAAGTCGCCCACTATACCAATATAATAACCATCTCCATGAGAGCCATAGCAATTAGATTGATACAGGGTTCATGTAGACAGTGTGTTGCTTACATTGCCTATTACTACTTCCTATAGCTGGAGCTCTGGCACCCTAGGACTGGCAGGTAGAGCCCCTGCCGCCCTGAGGCTGATAGCTCAGGCTGTCACTCACCCCTCTCCCCCAGTACCCCACTTAAGTCAACACAAGTAGGACATGTACCACTTGCAGAAGGAGTGTAGTGTGGACATGAACAGGTGATTTAATTACTGAGGTGGCTGTAGGTTGATCTCACTTAACATAATTTTGTAGTGTAGATATGCCCTAAATTGCTGGATTTCTGCTGAATACTTCATTTTTCTTTCTCTTCTCTCTCCCCCTCT